AAAACGATGAAGAACAGTTGCCATCTATTGCTTCTTGTCCTGCCCTCAGGTGCCCTGGAGAATAGCTTGACTCCCTCTTCTTTGGGGCAGCCCCTGAGATATTGGAAGACTGCTATCATGTCTCCCCTAGTCCTTCTTTTCATTAAACTAGACATACCCAGTTCCTGCAACTGTTCTTCATCGTTTTCTGTGTTTATGAAAATAATGTTAAAGCCACTATAGTATAAGTTAAATTTCCTTCGATTAAATAGATTATCTATCTGTCTATGATCTATCTATCTGTCTCAGTCTGTCTATCATCTATCTACTGTATTTCTATATCTGATTCTGTATCTATGTACCTACCTGCCTATTATGTAACGGACAAAGCCAAATAGATAGCAAGAGACAATGAAAAACAATAGATAAGGGCTCTTCATGCAGCCTGTGATTCCTTCACACGCGAGGGGTTGAAGAATCTCTCCGCTAACAACTCACATATAAGTTGATTTGTGCCATGCGCAAAATATCTCAAGTTGCACCCAAATATATCAGACCAAGAGTAAGCCAGCCCTGTTTCTTCTTTGATACCGGTGGCCACCCAAACCTGCGGGGGTGGGGAAGAATTGTAACTTTGAAAGCTAGTTTATTTGTTTTGTGTGTTTGTGTGTGTGTCTTTTGTTAACTTTGTTTGATTTCTCCCGGTGAGAGTGTTAGATTATTGCTCATTTGTGGATTTTCCCTTCCTTGGGCTAGAAACACCTTCCACATCTGTTTTAAAGGTTGCCCGTGATATTTTCAAAGGGCAAAAATTTTTAAAGTTTGTGTGCAGATTTAATTCAGACTTTTAAATTAGGTGCCTGTTGAGCAATCATTTCCAGACTTTCATTTCCTGTCCCCCATCCTGGGAAATTTGCAGTGATGTCACTGTGTCACCTAGCTTAGTATTTTTTTTCTCTCTCTTTTAACTTCCTTTCTACGAGTGCGCTATGCCTTTGCAAGTGCGCCTTCTCTCAGCCTTCCTGCATTGAAATGCCGTCATTGGGCTTCCATGCCTGATAAGATTAGACCAGGAGTGAAAGGGCTTCCTCATGTCTTACGAAGGGAAAGGAGGAGGGTAGCTTTCTCTGCGTGGAAGAGCGTTTTTCCAGTCTGAATCAGGCAGTCATTTGCATGGAAGCCCTTTGGATGGGATTTTTCTCCCCCCTGACTCTCTTCCCCTGGCACAGCTCCAGAGGTCTCCTCTGGCTTTCCTGCTGATTGGATTGGATTTGGATTTATTAGACATTTATAGGCCGCCCTTTTCCCTAAGGGGACTCAGGGCGGCTTACAATAATAAGGGAGGGGAGTGCAGAACAAAACACAAAAAGAAAATTACA